CTCTCTCTCTCTCTCTCTCTCTCTCTCTCTCTCTCTCTCTCTCTCTCTCTACATTCTATATTTCAATATCATCTGCAGTCATTATCTATATTAGCGTTGCTTTATTAAAGAAGAAATTCTTGCTTGCTTGCTTGCTTGCTTGCTTGCTTGCTTGCTTACTTAGTTATTTATTTACTTGGAGTTCACTATGTCTTTGCATGTGTGGTTCGGATTACTGACGAGGGCGGATGTTTAGGTACGAGAGGATGTTGCGGTCTCTGTCTGCGGTTGAGGGCGGCTGTGTGGGTGTGGGTGGGTGGTGGGCGGTGGTGTGGGTGGTGATGTAGGCTGCTGTGGGTGTAATGTAGGCTGGTGAATGGGTGGCCCTGGAAACATACCTTCTCTTCCCTTTCTTTCATCTCTACCCTCTCTCTACCCTCTCTACCCCCTCTCCACCCTCTCTCTATCCTCTCTCTACCCTCTCTCTACCCTCTGTACCCCCTCTCCACCCTCTCTCTATCCTCTCTCTACCCTCTCTCTACCCTCTATACCCCCTCCCCAAACCCTCTCTCTATCCTCTCTCTACCCTCTGTACCCCTCTCCCCACCCTCTATCTATCCTCTCTCTACCCTCTCTCTACCCTCTTCTGCAATCTTTTTCCCTCCCCATGAAACCCATTAAAACCCATTAAGCAGGTAATAACACACCCCCATGGTAATATCTAGTAACCTCTCTCTCTCTCTCTGTCTCTCTGTCTCTCTCTCTCTCTCTCTCTCTCTCTCTCTCTCTCTCTCTCTCTCTCTCTCTCTCTCTCTCTCTCATCTCTCTCTCTCTCTCTCTCTCCTTCCCACCTTCTCCAATAATGCGTCATTAGTCATGTGTTCACACTATTAAAATTATTTCTGGGACGCTGTAATCGGGAGTCAGTGTCTATCCGGCTGGTTCACAATATATTTACAATCTTACACATCATCTCTCAGGCCACAGCAGGATTCGAACCTACACACTCTGCATCAAGGTACATAGAGATCTGGCTGAGTGGCCTAGGTACTGTGTACTTTGATGCAGAGTGTGCAGGTTCGAATCCTGATGTGAACTAAGAAATAATATTTGCTAAAAGTTAGCCATTTTGTGAGCTGTTAGTCTTTAAAACCCCATTAACCGGTCTAGAGAAGTATCGGATGTGAAAATTTAGATATCCACGGATGTGGATGTGGATGAGGATGTCTTACCTACTTATTTTGGGGGTGTGGATACACATGCGGATGTAAGAAATTGTGCAGACATTCCTTGGATTCGGATGCGGACACATATGCGGATATCTGTTTACAGTAAAATGCGGATGTGGATACACATGCGGATGTAAGAAATTGTGTGGATGTTTCATGGATGCTGATGCGAATGCGGATGCGGATGCGGATATCCGATACATCACAAAACCAGTCACTCAAACAACACCCAATAATATAAATAAATTCAAAATTACAAATTTTAAGATAATCTTTTTTTGAGGAAGGGGGTTGGAATCCCCCCTCTCTCAGTGTGAACAGTAACGAGTCCAAATAATTACCGCCCAGACTTGAAGGACGTTAGGTAAATCGTTTTCTTGACTTGCTAATTGGAAGTCTTATCAAGTGATAGCAGAGAATTGTGATGTTAATTTCTGATAGTGACCCACACTTATATGATTTATATTCTCACTTGTTAAATATTTCTTTAGTGTTTTTGCGTGGTTATCGTCAGCTGCTGTAGCCTTGAACCGTGGTTCACTTGCTGTGTATGTGTGGTTCACCTGGTGTGTGTGTGTGTGTGGTTCACCTGGTGTGTGTATGTGTGGTTCACCTGCTGTGTATGTGTGGTTCACTTGCTGTGTATGTAGTTACGTCTGCGGGTATATACACTGAGATATACACCTCTCAATGCATATACACTGAGATATACACTCTCAATGTATATATCCGCATCTCTAAGGGGTTACCAGAAGTAAGTGAATTTTGTGGGGGGACAGAATTGGTGGTGGGGGGGGGTGAGAGAGACGTGGGACTGATTACCACTTTCAGGACTGGACCATCGGTCGTTATTGACCGAGGTGCGATAAATTGCCCACCGGAAATAACTCAGTTATGAGAGGAATTGTTGTCGTTTATTTTTGGTGGAAATTGGAGTTGTTCCGTGTCCTCGTCTCTAGATAGATAGATAGATAGATAGACTTGGTGTGGACTTCCAAGTACTCTGCTGTCTTTCCCATGTACTCCCATGTACTACCATGTACTACCATGCACTCCCATGTACTACTATGTACTACTATACACTCCCATTCACTACCATGCACTAACCTGCACTCCCATGCACTCCCATTCACTCCCATTCACTCCCATGCACTACCTCTCACAACTACTGGATCACTATGACATGGCCTTGGATGCACTGGAAGAAAATCAGAATGCAGATGTAATATACACAGACTTTGCAAAAGCATTTGACAAATGCGATCATGGCGTAATAGCCCATAAAATACGTGCTAAAGGAATAACTGGGAAAGTGGGGAGATGGATCTTCAACTTCCTAACAAATCGAACACAAAGAGTAGTGGTCAACAGAGTTAAATCGGAGGCTGCCATAGTGAAGAGCTCTGTTCCACAAAGCACAGTACTCGCCCCCATCTTATTCCTTATCCTCATATCAGACATAGACAGAGATATACATCACAACACCGTATCATCCTTTGCGGATGATACTAGGATCTGCATGAGGCTGTCACCTGCTGAGGACGCGGTTAACCTCCAAGAAGATATAAACAAAGTTTTCCAGTGGGCAACGGTAAACAATATGATGTTCAATGAGGACAAATTCCAACTACTCCGTTATGGAAAACTGGAGGAGATAATAACTAGAACAGAGTATACTACTGACTCCGGCCATACAATAGAGCGGAAAAATAATGTAAGGGACCTGGGAGTAGTAATGTCTGAGGATCTCACTTTCAAGGATCACAACAGTGCCACGATCGCACGTGCAAAGAAAATGATAGGATGGATAATGAGAACTTTCAAAACGAGAGATGCCAAGCCCATGATGATCCTTTTCAAATCACTTGTTCTCTCTAGGCTGGAATACTGCTGTACATTAACATCTCCATACAAAGCAGGTTAAATCGCAGATCTAGAGAGTGTACAGAGATCCTTTACTGCACGTATAAGTTCTGTCAAGCACCTTAACTACTGGGAACGCTTGGAAGCACTTGACTTGTACTCGTTGGAACGCAGGAGGAGAGATATATCATAATCTACACTTGGAAAATCTTGGAAGGAATGGTCCCAAATCTGCACACAGAAATCACTCCCTACGAAAGTAAAAGACCGGGCAGGCGATGCAAAATGCCGCCAATAAAAAGTAGGGGCGCCATTGGTACACTAAGAGAAAACACCATAAGTGTCCGGGGCCCAAAACTGTTCAACAGCCTCCCATCAAGCATTAGGGGAATTGCCAATAAACCCCTGGCTGCCTTCAAGAGAGAGCTGGACAGATACCTAAAGTCAGTGCCGGATCAGCCGGGCTGTGGCTCGTACGTCGGACTGCGTGCGGCCAGCAGTAACAGCCTAGTTGATCAGGCCCTGATCCATCGGGAGGCCTGGTCATGGACCGGGCCGCGGGGGCGTTGATCCCCGGAATAACCTCCAGGTAACCTCCAGGTAACCCTGCACTACCATGTACTCCCATGTACACTCCCCTGCTATTTATTTCCCATTCTCAGCTAAACACAGCTCTTGGCCCCACAGTGAGTTTAACATCGACTCCACACGTACACACACAATGCCGGTGCGTACACAGTTTACGTACACTGTACACATCTAACACAGTACACTGTACACATCCTGCACACATTACACTGTACATGCCGGATAATACGTAAATATAGGTTACTGGAAGAGGAATTTAGGAACAGAATAAATGATTTAAAATATTTCTCGTAATGGGTTGGAGCAGGTAATTGTTAAGTCAAGGTCGCGGTGCTAGATAAGAGGTGCTAGGTTAGCGGTGCTAGGTTAGCGGTGATAGATTAGCAGGCTAGATTAGTGATGCTAGATTAGAGGTGCTACGTAAGAGGTGCTAGATTATAGGTGCTAGATTAGAGGTGCTAGATAAGAGGTGCTAGATTATAGGTGTTACATTAGCGGTGCTAGGCTAGAGGTGCTAGATTAGAGGTCCTAGACTAGAGGTGCTAGATTAGAGATCCTAGACTAGAGGTGCTAGATTAGCTGTCCTAGGCTAGAGGTGCTAGATTAGAGGTCCTAGATTAGAGGTGCTATATTAGCGGTCCAAGACTAGAGGTGCTAGATTAGAGGTCCTAGACTAGAGGTGCTATATTAGCGGTCCAAGACTAGAGGTGCTAGATTAGCGGTCCTAGACTAGAGGTGCTAGATTAGAGGTCCTAGACTAGAGGTGCTATATTAGCGGTCCAAGACTAGAGGTGCTAGATTAGAGGTCCTAGACTAGAGGTGCTATATTAGCAGTCCAAGACTAGAGGTGCTAGATTAGAGGTCCTAGACTAGAGGTGCTATATTAGCGGTCCAAGACTAGAGGTGCTAGATTAGCGGTCCTAGACTAGAGGTGCTATATTAGCGGTCCAAGACTAGAGGTGCTAGATTAGCGGTCCTAGACTAGAGGTGCTAGATTAGAGGTCCTAGACTAGAGGTGCTAGATTAGAGGTCCTAGACTAGAGGTGCTATATTTGCGGACCAAGACTAGAGGTGTTAGATTAGCGGTCCTAGACTAGAGGTGCTAGATTAGGGGTCCTAGACTAGAGGTGCTAGATTAGCGGTCCTAGACTAGAGGTGTTTATAATTGAGGTGGTTAATGCTTAACGACGGGCGGACTGGAGGGCTGATGAGTAAGTGAGCAAGTCACTCACTGGATGAGTGAATACACTACGCCAATCACAGGAAGCAGCGAGTGGAAATGCACTCACGTGGATGTAGCATTCTCTAGTAACCTGTATCTTTCCCCTCGCTCACCTGCAGGTGCTCGCTGTTGTGGTGGGTAGGTGCCAACCTCACCTACGCCCAGCTACCTAACCTGCGTCCGCTACGAGGCATCCTACAGGACCTGGGAGGTCCCCAGGTCCATAGTGGAAACAGAGCTGTAGTAGGCACAGCAGCAGCAGTGACAGCTGTGCACAGCAGTGGGGGTATAATCATCAACAGTAGCGGTAACAGCAGCAGCAGTGGTCACACACCAGTACGTCAGGATGTGACGGACGCCTTAAAAGCAGGTCTTGATATTGCACAAGAAATGTTAGACCTGGAAATGGCTGAAGGTAACTATTTTGTTAAGTTTAAACACGACTGAATTATATATGTAGGAGCTATGCAATGTTGCAAGACAGCAAAAGGTATCAATGACAGCCCATATGCAACATAGCTCCTGACGACGCACGAGAGTGTGAAAGATCTAGGGATAATGACTGTCATTCCCATGTGGCTTATTCTGCATTATTAAGATAGTCTATTTGCGGTTCAATTCTATATGCAAGTCAAAATTATCAGAGGAAATGTAGGAAGTAAGTTGGGTGAATATTAGCAACAAACTGGTATAAGTATGTCTCACTACAATTTAAGTCAAATGTTGTAAATAAATGGAGGTGTGAGTGGTACAAAACCTGGTGTATAGGCGAGTCAAAGATGCATTAAATTACCAGAGCTGGTGGATATAAAAGTATACGAAGGCCAGCAGGACTTCCAGCTACCACAGTGCCATTTAGTGCTGTTAGGGGGACAGTGCCTAACTCTCCATCACTCTAGTTAAGCAGGTAATATCTCTGTGGGTCCTGAGAGAGGGAGTGGAGTCACTGTGTGAGCCACTAACCACAAGCCAGACGACACAGGGTAACTACCAAAGGTGCGGAAGACAGCGAATGCGTCACGAACATTTACAAAAGGGGATCACAATTTTAGCTGGTGGTCAGTGAGGTAGTGACCTCCTCTTCATGGTCACCCCCACTGACACACCTACACAAGCCTGGTATACCTGCAGAGTTTACCTGGAGAGAGTTCCGGGGGTCAACGCCCCCGCGGCCCGGTCTGTGACGAGGCCTCCTGGTGGATCAGAGCCTGATCAACCAAGTATAGGTGGGAATGACAGTATCATTCAGGTATATTTCTAAGAATGTCTGAGATGACTTCTTGTTTGCCATGTCATTTCTTCGTGTCACTTACCGACACGATTAAGACTTTATAGATATAACCTTAAAGACACAGAACGGGTGGGATTTAAACCTGTGGCGAGTTAGCCCTTAAAGTCCAGGCCATAATAACTTTCTGTCTTTCTGACATAACAACTTTCACTGTTGCTGACAGAGTTACTCTCAATAAATAACAAAAAAGGCACAATACCGTGACTGGAACGATACACAAATAACCCGCACGTAAAAGAGAGAAGCTTCCGACGACGTTTCGGTCCGACTTGGACCATTGACAAAGTCACACTGTGTGACTTTGTCAATGGTCCAAGTCGGACCGAAACGTCGTCGTAAGCTTCTCTCTTTTATGTGCGGGTTATTTGTGTATTATTCTCAATGTTCCTAACACAGGTCTCACTACCCTGGCCTGGTACGGAGCCACGACTACAGGTAACCTGCAGGTGTGACAGGTGTGAGTGGCTTCTGGAGTCAATGGCAGATGAGAAATGACTCTGGTAACAGTCATATAAAAACACAAACACACACACACACACACACACACATCCCAGATGGTACTCCATACTTTTTTAAACTTCTAGCTCACTGTTCGCTCTAAATGCTACCGGAAACACTTAAGGCTTGATTGACAGTGCTTTATAAAGGGTTCAAAAGCCTGCTGTCTTGCCTGTGACAGGACAAACACTACCACAAGCTTTCGCTGCCTCCAAGAACACGCAGGTCCAAAAGCCTGTTTTCTTGCCTATGACAGGACAAACACTACCACAGGCTTTCGCTGCCTCCAAGAACACGCAGGTCCAAAAGCCTGTTTTCTTGCCTGTGACAGGACAAACACTACCACAAGCTTTCGCTTCCTCCAAGAACACGCAGGTCAAAAAGCCTGTTTTCTTGCCTGTGACAGGACAAATACTACCACAGGCTTTCGCTGCCTCCAAGAACACGCAGGTCCAAAAGCCTGTTTTCTTGCCTGTGACAGGACAAACACTACCACAGGCTTTCGCTTCCTCCAAGAACACGCAGGTCCAAAAGCCTGTTTTCTTGCCTGTGACAGGACAAACACTACCACAGGCTTTCGCTTCCTCCAAAAACACGCAGGTCCAAAAGCCTGTTTTCTTGCCTGTGACAGGACAAACACTACCACAGGCTTTCGCTTCCTCCAAGAACACGCAGGTCCAAAAACCTGTTTTCTTGCCTGTGACAGGACAAACACTACCACAGGCTTTCGCTGCCTCCAAGAACACACAGGTCCAAAAGCCTGTTTTCTTGCCTGTGACAGGACAAACACTACCACAGGCTTTCGCTGCCTCCAAGAACACGCAGGTCCAAAAGCCTGTTTTCTTGCCTGTGACAGGACAAACACTACCACAGGCTTTCGCTTCCTCCAAGAACACGCAGGTCCAAAAGCCTGTTTTCTTGCCTGTGACAGGACAAACACTACCACAGGCTTTCGCTTCCTCCAAAAACACGCAGATCCAAAAGCCTGTTTTCTTGCCTGTGACAGGACAAACACTACCACAGGCTTTCGCTTCCTCCAAAAACACGCAGGTCCAAAAGCCTGTTTTCTTGCCTGTGACAGGACAAACACTACCACAGGCTTTCGCTGCCTCCAAGAACACGCAGGTCTAAAAGCCTGTTTTCTTGCCTGTGACAGGACGAACACTACCACAGGCTTTCGCTTCCTCCAAGAACACGCAGGTCCAAAAGCCTGTTTTCTTGCCTGGGACAGGACAAACACTACCACAGGCTTTCGCTTCCTCCAAGAACACGCAGGGCCAAAAGCCTGTTTTCTTGCCTGTGACAGGACAAACACTACCACAGGCTTTCGCTGCCTCCAAGAACACGCAGGTCCAAAAGCCTGTTTTCTTGCCTATGACAGGACAAACACTACCACAGGCTTTCGCTGCCTCCAAGAACACGCAGGTCCAAAAGCCTGTTTTCTTGCCTGTGACAGGACAAACACTACCACAGGCTTTCGCTTCCTCCAAGAACACGCAGGTCCAAAAGCCTGTTTTTTTGCCTGTGACAGGACAAACACTACCACAGGCTTTCGCTTCCTCCAAGAACACGCAGGTCCAAAAACCTGTTTTCTTGCCTGTGACAGGACAAACACTACCACAGGCTTTCGCTGCCTCCAAGAACACGCAGGTCCAAAAGCCTGTTTTCTTGCCTGTGACAGGACAAACACTACCACAGGCTTTCGCTGCCTCCAAGAACACGCAGGTCCGAAAGCCTGTTTTCTTGCCTGTGACAGGACAAACACTACCACAGGCTTTTGCTGCCTCCAAGAACACGCAGGTCCAAATACCTGTTTTCTTGCCTGTGACAGGACAAACACTACCACAGGCTTTCGCTGCCTCCAAGAACACGCTGGTCCAAAAGCCTGCTTTCTTGCCTGTGACAGGACAAACACTACCACAGGCTTTCGCTGCCTCCAAGAACACGCTGGTCCAAAAGCCTGCTTTCTTGCCTGTGACAGGACAAACACTACCACAGGCTTTCGCTGCCTCCAAGAACACGAGCAACTGTAAGCAGTTTGAGAATTGTTTCTTAATTATTTTGTGTTCGTTTCCCCCCTAGACATCAGAGTTTATTAATGCCCTTCTATTTTACCCCTGTGAGTGCAGGCACTCGCCTGAGGACCAGTCTGGCAGACCAGCCCCTGGAACAGAGTGCCAAGTTCCTTTTCTCCTTCAGGAGAGCCCAGCCTGAAGCCAAGAAAGCCGCTGCCTGCGAGGGGAGAAAACTTCTCGAAGCCTCTAAGTTTTATCTCAGAAGGTCAGTGCCTGATTCTTCCGCTATATCTTCTTCTTTATCTTATCCTTCTATTTTTCCTTCTTCTTATTTCGCTTCTTCGTTGCCTCTTTAGCATTCCCTTCCATTTTTCCTTCTCTTTCTCCCCAGCACCTCCTCCCCAACACCTCCCCCCCGCCACAACCTCCCCCTCCCAGTTCCCACCACAACCTCCTCCCCATCACCTTCTACCCAACACCTCCTCCACTCCATCCACCACAAATCTCCCCTACTATTACCCATCAAATTACCTCCCCATCACGCTCTCCCAACTACCCAAGTAACATTACTTATACAACAAACATCAACGTCATTTTAATACATTAACAGCCAAGTACGCCACGTACCACTGAGACGTCAGTAAATTATGTAAATTATCCATGATAATTCTCTGCGTAAAATTTGCTGAATTATTACCAAGATTATTTCCTCTCTTATAGGAAGTATATATATATATATATATATAATATATATATATATATATATATATATATATATATATATATATATATATATATATATATATATATATATATATATTACAAAGGGTCAGGTTCAGGGGTGAAATTCAAGGGGTTACAAAATCTGCCTTCAAAGGGAAGGGGGTGAAAGGAGGAGGAGGAAAGGGGTAGGGGGAAGATTGAAACGGTAAAGTAGAGAAGACAGAGAGAAAGAAGAAAACCAGAAGACAGGTTATTATAGGAATCTGGGAAAGCAGACACAGACAGCTGTTCCCGGAATATATTTTTTGTGTTGTGTACTGCAGGTCAGCAGAAATGCAGGAAAAATAGAGAGAGAGAGAGAGAGAGAGAGAGAGAGAGAGAGAGAGAGAGAGAGCAGTGCTGTTAAAGAAATCTATATATGTACTTGCCAAGTTGTGTTTGAGGGGGTCGAGTCCTGGTTCCTGTCTCCACCTGTGTATCGCCTGACAGCATTACTGTTGTTTAGACCTTTTGAGCCTTATCTAGCATTACCTAGTTATTGTGGCAGGGGTCGATTCACAGCTCCTGGTCCCGCCTCTTCGCTTGTCACTATTAGGTCCAGTCTCTCCCTGCTCCATAAGTTTTATCATACCTCTTCTTAAAGCTATATATGGATCCTGCCTCCACTACTTCAATCTCCAGATTATTCCACTTCCTGACAACTCTGTGACTGAAGAAATACTTCCTAACATCCCTGTGACTCATCTGAGTCTTTAATTTCCAGTTGTGTCCCCTTGTTGCTGTGTTCCCTGTTGCTGTGTCCCCTTGTTGCTGTGTTTCCTTGTTGCTGTGTCCCCTTGTTGTTGTGTCCCTTGTTGCTGTGTCCCCTTGTTGCTGTGTTTCCTTGTTGCTGTGTCCCCTTGTTGTTGTGTCCCTTGTTGCTGTGTCCCCTTGTTGCTGTGTCCCTTGTTGCTGTGTCCCCTTGTTGTTGTGTCCCTTGTTGCTGTGTCCCCTTGTTTCTGTGTCCCCTTGTTGCTGTGTCCCTTGTTGCTGTGTCCCCTTGTTGCTGTGTCCCCTTGTTGTGTCCCCTTGTTGCTGTGTCCCCTTGTTGCTGTGTCCCTTGTTGCTGTGTCCCCTTGTTATTGTGTCCCTTGTTGCTGTGTCTCCTTGTTGCTGTGTCCCTTTGTTACTGTGTCCCCTTGTTGCTGTGTCCCCTTGTTGCTGTGTCCCTTGTTGTTGTGTTCCCTTGTTGCTGTGTCCCCTTGTTGCTGTGTCCCCTTGTTGTTGTGTCCCCTTGTTGCTGTGTCCCTTGTTGCTGTGTCCCCTTGTTGTTGTGTCCCCTTGTTGCTGCGTCCCCTTGTTGCTGTGTCCCCTTGTTGCTGTGTCCCCTTGTTGCTGTGTCTCCTTGTTACTGTGTCCCTTGTTGCTATGTCCCTTGTTGCTGCGTCCCCTTGTTGCTGTGTTCCTTGTTGCTGTGTCCCCTTGTTGCTGTGTCCCCTTGTTGCTGTATCCCTTGTTGCTGTGTCCCCTTGTTACTGTGTCCCCTTGTTCCTGTGTCCCCTTGTTGCTGTGTCCCTTGCTGTTGTGTCCCCTTGTTGCTGTGTCCCCTTGTTGCTGTGTCCCCTTGTTGCTGTGTCCCCTTGTTGCTGTGTTTCCTTGTTGCTGTGTCCCCTTGTTACTGTGTCCCCTTGTTGCTGTGTCCCCTTGTTGCTGTGTCCCTTGTTGCTGTGTCCCCTTGTTGCTGTGTCCCCTTGTTGTGTCCCCTTGTTGCTGTGTCCCTTGTTGTTGTGTCCCCTTGTTGCTGTGTCCCTTGTTGCTGTGTCCCCTTGTTGCTGTGTCCCCTTGTTGTGTCCCCTTGTTGCTGTGTCCCTTGTTGCTGTGTCCCCTTGTTGCTGTGTCCCCTTGTTACTGTGTCCCTTGTTGCTGTGTCCCCTTGTTGCTGTGTCCCTTGTTGCTGTGTCCCCTTGTTGCTGTGTCCCCTTGTTGCTGTGTCCCCTTGTTGCTGTGTCTCCTTGTTACTGTGTCCCTTGTTGCTGTGTCCCCTTGTTGCTGTGTTCCTTGTTGCTGTGTCCCCTTGTTGCTGTGTCCCCTTGTTGCTGTGTCCCTTGTTGCTGTGTCCCCTTGTTGCTGTGTCCCTTGTTGCTGTGTCCCCTTGTTACTGTGTCCCCTTGTTGCTGTGTCCCCTTGTTGCTGTGTCCCTTGTTGCTGTGTCCCTTGTTACTGTGTCCCCTTGTTGCTGTGTCCCCTTGTTGCTGTGTCCCTTGTTGCTGTGTCCCCTTGTTGTTGTGTCCCCTTGTTGCTGTGTCCCCTTGTTGCTGTGTCTCCTTGTTACTGTGTCCCCTTGTTGCTGTGTCCCCTTGTTGCTGTGTCCCCTTGTTGCTGTGTCCCCTTGTTGTTGTGTCCCCTTGTTGCTGTGTCCCCTTGTTGCTGTGTCTCCTTGTTGATGTGTCCCCTTGTTACTGTGTCCCCTTGTTACTGTGTCCCCTTGTTGTTGTGTCCCTTGTTGCTGTGTCTCCTTGTTACTGTGTCCCTTGTTGCTGTGTCCCTTGTTGCTGTGTCCTCTTGTTGCTGTGTCCCCTTGTTGTTGTGTCCCCTTGTTGCTGTGTCCCTTGTTGATGTGTCTTCTTGTTGCTGTGTCCCTTGTTGCTGTGTCCCCTTGTTGCTGTGTCCCTTGTTGCTATGTCCCCTTGTTGCTGTGTCCCTTGTTGCCGTGTTCCTTGTTGCTGTGTCCCCTTGTTGCTATGTCCCCTTATTGCTGTGTCCCCTTGTTGCTGTGTCCACTTGTTGCTGTGTCCCCTTGTTGCTGTGTCCCTTTTTCGCAGTCTCTTGTTGCTGTGTCCCTTGTTGCTATGTCCCCTTGTTGCTGTGTCTCCTTGTTGCTGTGTCCCTTGTTGCTGTGTCCCTTGTTGCTGTGTCCCCTTGCTGCTGTGCCCTATCTCTAAAACCTTCCGTCCTCATCCACCTTGTCGGACTTGGACCATATACAAAGTCACACTGTGTGACTTGTAAAATGTGTGACTTTGTAAATGGTCCAAGTCGGACCGAAACCTCGTCTTACGCTTTTCTCTCTCCTACATTTGGGTTATTTGTGTATTGTTAATCGTCTCTAACAACGCAGGAGTCTAACTAACAACTATTCTTGGGGTCCGACAGACACAACATCTCCGCTCAGGACGCCCAGCACTTCCTGTCGAAGTTGAACGACTTACTGGACGAGGAGGAGTGTCAGGGCATGAGACTTCGAGGTTGTAGCGCTGTTCGACTCCCCGTCCCTTGTTCTCCCGTCTATTCCTATCGTTTCATTGACGGTTCCTGCAACAACCTCAATCACACTAGGTGGGGCGCTGCTAAGGAGCCCTTCGTTAGGTACCTGGCACCTGCTTACGAAGACGGTAAGTGCTTCGTTAGTACATCGCATTTGCTTGTACGGTAAGTGCTGCCTTAGGTACCTCGCACCTGCTTGAAGGAGAAGTACTTAGATAGGTACCTCGCACCTGCATACGAGGACGGTAAGTGCTTAATTAGGTAACTCGTACCTGCTTAAGAAGATGGTAAATACTGCGTTAGGTTCGTTTTCCCCCAATAAGAAGCCTGAAAAGAACCTTAATAGCACTCTGTTTATAGGTACTTGATCCCTTCTCTCAGTAGGTGCCTCTGGTACCTAATTATTATTATTATTATTATTATTATTATTATTATTATTATTAAGATATTGATACGTATTACAAGGTTCTCACCAGTCACACAAGGTCGAAATTACCACTACATATCACTGAAAAACAACACTAACAACATGTATATTCGTAATATGGCAGACATCAGTTCGTAATATTACAGTCATCAATTCGTAATTTCCCAGACATCAATTTTCTAGTTTTTAAAGGTGATAATGACTTACAAGAATTAATTGACTACAGACACAGTTGTAAAACACTTTAAAGTGTGTGTGTGCGTGTGTGTGTGTGTGTGTGTGTGTGTGTGTGTGTGTGTGTGTGTGTGTGTGTGTGTGTGTGTGTGTGTGTGTGTGTGTGTGTGTGTGTGTGTGTGTACGTTCATTCACTGTACTAACAACTGTGTGACTGTGCTAACAGCCACAGTTAGTGTGGCTGTTCTAGTGCTTAGGTTAATGGGGTTTAAAGTCTATCTACCACACGAGGGTCATTAAGACTGGTTGGTTGGTTAACGGGGTTTAAAGTCTATCTACTACACGAGGGTCATTAAGGCTGCAGGTCACCTGGTCACCACCAGTCAAGAATACTTTAATACCTAAAATACTGATTAATGTAAACTACCAGTGTATATACACTGAGATCCACACCTCTCAGTGTATATACACTGAGAGACATACACTTCACAGTGTATATACACCCTTGTGGAAAGGTGCAAGAAATCTAACTAGAATAATGAACAATATAACCGCCTCGTCAACTGTCTCGTCAACTGCCTCGTTAACTGCCTCGTTAACCACCTCGTTTACCAGGACAGTGAACGAGACATCTGGCCTCACCTGTGATTATTACGTGATCTAGGGGGCAAAACATCTGTGTTGGAGAAACCACCTATCCAGCCTTACAAGAAACATTGCAATTGCTGGAACTGGAAGAGGGAAAGGAGAGAAGGATGAAAGGAAGGAGAGAGAGAGAAGGAAGAGGGGAAAGGGGAGAGAAAACTGAGAGTCATAACGCTGGAGATGGAATTGAAAGGAGGAGAGAAAGAAAAGAGAGAAGAAATGAGATAATATGAGAATGGTGGGAACAATAAGGAAAGAATAAACAAAACCGGTAAGGGAAGAAAGAAGAGAAGAATTTGAATAATGATAAACAATTTTTTCAGATTATCACTCAGAAAAATCATTCTGAACCTTCCCCCCTTCAAAAAAAGGCAATCAGACCCCGCCAAAAATCGAAAAAATTGGTTGGGCAATTATTTTTGCAAGTGGGTTTGAGGACGACTTGCCTAGTATG